GGGAGTTGCATGTGAATGAATGAGACATGCGACAATTGGCTTCATTAATCATTTTTGGTGGGGAAAGTGTCTAATCGAGGAAAGGAAAGGGAAACGCAGACCACCGTGCTCACTGGCCTGTCCTGTCCAGTCTTTGACATAAATTATAGGTCATTTAACCCCGCTTTGACCCCACGCAGCAACAGAAACAATCTGGTCTCCTGTTTCTGTTTGCTGTCTTGAATAAGAATTTACTTCAGCTGGGAAAGGGACTGGAGGTAAAACTCAGATTGTTGACATGCGTTTCTGTTGGGATTTTATTGCGCTTCTCATGCACTTAAACTCCTTTTTTATGAATGACGATGAAAGGCCAACGTAACGCTGATCTTTGTTCCTCTTGTTCTCAGCTGTTTGTTAAAGCATCTGTTGGAGAGTCACCGTTGCCACAACTAGTTGTGCAGATGTCACATTTAGCTCTTTCTTGTCCTAGTTCTGTGTGAAAGGACAATGTGTAGTCAATAGTTGACATTTGGTCAGCAGAATGCTGTGGTCACTTCTGCTTCTCGCCTGACTTGGACTTTAGTTGACCAGAAAAATCAAATGTAAGTTAGAGATGTCAGACTGTACCATTTCAAAACCGTCTGTACAAACACAAGCATTGCCTGCAAGGATGACTTGTCTAGTTCTCACAACTTTGCAGCCACTCATTCCATGTTTCTTATTATTGTGCACTGCTGACAGACTTGTCTACATGTGTGTGTGCTTGTGGGTCTGTCTTTTAGCCAAATATCTCATTAGCTACTGGTCACATTTCATAGAAACTAGCATGAGATAATCATTGACTTATACCTCTAGAAATTGATCAACTTTTGGAGTAAACCTGATTCAAGATGGCTTTTGTTCAGTCAGTTCTAAAAATTGTTGTTAGACGCTGAGAGTCCTTCACAACACATACTGTTAATGTGACGTCACCCGGCAGTGATTCATATCCACCTTATTCCTCGCCCTCATGCTGCCATGTGTGAATTGTGAACGCAACTTCCGTTGCGGACCAAAACTGGCATTTGTTTATGTGAGAAGAGTATGAGCTAATGTAGTTTCTCCAATCATTATTGATTTGCTGTATTCATTCATACCCATCTGCTCACCACAGACTCATGTTTGGGCTGCTGCTGTTACGCTGTAATGTTTTGCACTATTGGTGTTTAGCGTATATCTTAGATCTGTTAGCGTACCGTTTGGCGTGTTTAGCGTATATCTTAGATCTGTTAGCGTACCGTTTGGCGTGTTTAGCGTATATCTTGGTGTATATGTCGGCTGCCGATCGGTGCTATTTTTATTTTAGTCAGACAGAAAATAAATTGAACTATTATCAGCAATACCACCTAGTTAAACTAGGAATAAAATTAGGTCACTTATCACAGGGGTGAGCAGTGTTTCACAAAACAGATGGTAGAGGTTTACAATAATTTATTACTAGGAGATGGAAACTATACCGCTTTTCACTGGAACACTCTTTTTGTTTTGGGTCCATGTTCAAAACTCTGTTGTTGTAGCCACTGATTTAGTTTTGTCTGGTTGTTCGTGCAGCCGCGAACACAACAGGTACCTGAACGCAGCACGGCTATTTTAGTAAACTTTATGGTTGTTAAATAAATGTGAACAAAACAAAAACAGTGTTTTATCTGTTAAACTGAATGCAAATTACTTTCAAATAAACTGCAGTCTGTTCTCTGCTACCATGGTTAACCAATGCTAACTGCTACTTCCTGTCTGACAGGAAGTTGTACCCATAATCATTTATACAGCAGAGCCTCCAGAATAAGGTGGATACATTCCTTGAAGGAATGCTAGGCCTTCATTTAGCTACAAGGTGCATTAATCTCGTAGCTCTTCTCTGCATTGTGCAGTCACATCCTTTCTAATCCCCATGTTAAACACAGCATTACTCATTTGTCCTTGTTTGTTTGAATCTTTGCTCATAAACGCGCTCATTCATAACAGCAGAAGACTTTTGATGAATTGCCAAACTTGCGTCTGAGACGTTGCTATTACCATTCTGTCCCTGCTTATGTGGGTCATGCATGCATTAACCTGTATTTTATCCATGCAGGCAGAAGTGAATACTTTATTATTCAAATGTTTCCAGCTTGTCTCGTTCAGTCTCTAGTCTGGCAGCTAATCCTAATGTGGCCCAATTCTCCCCCCCCCCAAAAAAAACAAACAAACAAAAAAAAACAGTTTATCATCCTCCATGACAGTAAACAATGAGAGAAATGTAAACAGTTGTCTGGGAGCTGAACTTATCTAACTAAAAAGCCCATGAACAGAGCCGGGGGGAGCCGAAGACACCAGGCCTGCATTTATTTATCTGCCATGTTCACAAGAATCCTTAGAAAGAGAGTAGCTTTAACTGAGCTTCCTATCATCACTGAAGCAAATACTGGTGCTTTAGTGCCGTGTTGTTTGTGATGTGGAGGGATTACTTAATAACTCATGGGGATTTTCACATAAAATGCAACATTGGATGAGACTAGGCTCACCATCAGCCCCGAAGAACAAGAAAAAAGCATTTAGGTCAGTGTAGAAGACTCCCCATCTTCTAGTATACTGCAGGGGGGGGTATGGTGTGATCTGCCATGCAGAAGTCTGTTTAAAGAGATGAATCCACTGTAACATCTGACTTATGTAATCCCAGTGGATCTAAAGTACGATGCACCTAATAGTATAGGATGAAACCAATAATAGCAGCCTCCTTGTTTTCCTATATTTTGCTTATTTCTTCTTTGAGTTGTGATTTATGATAAGTTTCAGTTTGTACTGACTGATGGGAAAAGGCTCCATGGCCTGTTCTGTGCCTTATTTAACAAGAGCCTGCAAGGTGTGCAGGGAAATAACTTATGTATAATAATAATGGCTTCCATGTGGCTGTGCAGGGTGTTGTATCTAAAATCTGACGTCGGAAATGCCCACGAGGAAACAAAATTGTTTTCAAGGACAATCAACCCCATTTTTCTCCCGTTCTCTCTTCCCTCAGATGTGCAAGTTAATAAATAGAACTGCTGACATCAGCTGTTTTATTGTGTGAACGCTGAGTCAGCAGTCGCACCATTGTTTTTCTGTTATTTATTTTAATTTTTTCGTACATTGCTTGCAGTCTGTTTCTGCATACTTTGTGCTAGTTTAATCATTCATATATCAGGAACATTCACCTCATTCATGAGACGTGTACTAAGTACTTTGATTTTTGTGACGTTTATATTTTTCTAAAAATGTAACTTTATTTACCGATACAAATATTTTCCTCGTGGAAATATGTTGGGGTAACTTTAGTTCCTTCAGTTCTTTTAGAAAACTACTTTTGCTACTTTACGCTACTTTTAGCTAACATTTAAAATTTTTAAGCTAGCTTTTTGTTTCTTTTAGCTTGGTTCTGCAACTTTTTGCTTTGAACTATCTGTAATATGTTGCTAGTTTGAGTTAGTTTTCTGCTGTTTACTGGCTAGTGTTTTGTAACTTTTGGCTGTTTTTTTTAAGTTTGCTACTTTTAGCAAGCATTTTAATGGTTTGCTTTTAACTAATACTTTGCTACATTCACTTAACATCTGTTGCTTTTTAGCTAGTGCTTTGCTTCTGGTAGCTTGCATTGTACTACTTTTAGCTAGCATTTCTTTTAGCTACATTTTTGATACTTTTAGCGAACCTTTTGTTACTTGTCGCTATTAAGTAAAGTGACTTTAAGCAAACATTTTGCCCATTTTAGCTTGTTTGCTACTTTTAGCTACCATTCTGCTTTTGTAGCTAGCGTTTTGTTTCTTTTAGCTTGGTTTTGCAACTTTTAGCTTTTATAACTTTTTGCTTTTAACTAATAAATTGCTACTTTGAGTTAGTTTTCTGCTATTTACCTAGTACTTGCTAGCGTTTTATAACTTTTGGCTTTTTTTAAGATTGCTAATTTTAGCAAGCATTTTACAATATTTTGCTTTTAGCTAATACTTTGCTACATTCATTTAACATTTGTTGCTTTTTAGTTAGTGCTTTATTACTTTTATCTAGCTACTTTGCTTCTTGTAGCTTGCATTTTGCTATGTTTAGTTAGCATTCTTTAGCTTTTAGCTATTATTTTGATTCTTTTAGTATACATTTTGGTACTTGTAGCTTTTAAGTCTGACTTTAAGCAAACATTTTGCCCATTTTAGCTTGTGTTTTGCTACTTTCAGGTAGAATTGAAAAACTTTGACAGTATTTTGCTTAATTAGCATGTACCTTGTTTTCAGCTTCTGTAGTAAATTTGAGCAGTCTTTTAGCTGTCAGCTTTTTTTCTTGAGTTTAGTTTGGGAATATATCCGTCCACAGTTCATAGGAAGAACATTTGATGAAGTTATAGTAGTTAAGTAGACTAAATGCTCATCAGTCAGTGAATTTCAGCTATTAAGTATTTTCTTTATTTGCCTCATCAAGTCCTATAATAATAATAATATTATTGCTGCAAGCATTTGGATCAGATATTGATACATGCAAACATTTAATTGAACATCTGCTTCTTGTAACTTGCTTCACTTCCATCTGTTTATTACAGGCTGAAACACCAACAACAATATATTCTATCTGGTTTTAAACCCATAATGGAAATCTTTTTTTCTAACTGGCTCAATGCCCATATCAATTGATATAGTCTTCATAGTTCATAAACTAAATGACATGGAGGTGTCTACACAATATAAGAGTCGGCAATGAAGTCGTTTTTACAGCTGAGCTGAATGTTCTCCGCTTGTGGAAGAAAGGATTGCTTATGTGTTGGAATTTTTCTTTGTGCTGAACTGTTTTTGTTTTTGTTTCCAGATGTCTTTCTACATTGGTGGCATGCTGTAAAAACAAAAAAGTCAACACTCTTCAGCCCCTTGTCCTTGACGCACAAAGGATTTTTCCCAATGTGATGCCACCTGCCCTCTGAGTTATGATGGCGGCTGCTTCTGTAACTCGAGAAAAAGGATCCTCCTCCACTCTCCAGTGAGCAGGCTGCATGATGTGATGAGGACGCTTCCTGAAAGTCTGCTCCTCAAACAATCTGCCGGCAGGATATGAGTATTTTGAGCCCTGTGACCGATAACAAATCAACCTTTGTGGGAGGTCCAGAAGAATACTCCAGTGCCATGCAGTCAGAGGAGTTATTCAGCAGGAAACTCAAGGCCTTGAATGGAAGTATGGGCCCACCGGCTTCAAGTATGCAGGTGAAATCTGATGGTGCTGGCAAAGCAAATGGTACTCCAGCCATGCCTAAAATGGGTGTCAGGGCCAGGGTGACAGAATGGCCACCGAGGAAAGATGGATGGGATGGACGGCCTTCACCGAACTACCAGAGCGTGATCCCAGTTTTTCAGAATGGACAGCAGGAACATATTGTGGAATTGCTGGAGCCAGGAGAAGAGGTCTGTGTGGAGGTGGACTACAATGACAAATACACACTGAGTGACCTTCTCAGCCATTCCCCGCTGAAGGGTCTTCATCCTATCCGTCAACGCAGCAACAGCGATGTCACCATAAGTGACATTGACTCCGAGGATATAATGGACCAGAACGCTGTCAATCCAAACACAGGAGCTTCTCTGCACCGAGAATATGGCAGCACATCCTCCATCGACCGCCAGGGGCTTACGGGAGATGGTTTCTTCACCATGCTGAGAGGCTACAGAGTGGAGAACTTGGACCATCGTAGCATTCCACCTCTGGGTTTTCCAGAGCTGTTGCGCTGTGATGCATCCTTGTCTCCAAGCTTGCAGACAGCAGCACAAATTGCCAGGGGTGAGATAGTCCACATTCCAGGTTATGACTACATAGACAGTTCTGTATTCTACAGTCGGGAGCAGGAAAAATCATTTATGAGGCGTCTTAAATCGGAGTCAACCGAAACTTCTTTGTTTAGGAAACTAAGGACCATTAAGAGCGAGAGCGATGCCTTGCGGCTCTCCATGGAGGACGACCGGCGACCGCTGAGCTTTCAGAAATGTTTTGCGCACTACGATGTACAGAGTGTGCTTTTCAACATCAGCGAAGCAGTCGCAAGCCGGGCTAACTTGAGCCAGAGAAAGAATACTACCACTGGAGCTTCAGCTGCCTCAGCTGGAATTGGGCCTGGGGTTGGTGGAGTACTGGGAGGTGGTATAGGGCCTGGATCTGTGGTAGATGTTGTAGCAGCAGGTTGTAGCAGTGGAAATACTCCCTTGTTTGAGTCTCCGCTTGGAAGCAGAGAGGACCTGAACCCCAAGGAGAACCTGGATGCAGATGAGGGGGATGGAAAGAGCAACAACTTGGTGCTGAGCTGTTCGCACTTTCGTAATGAGATCGGTGGTGAGGGTGAGAGGAAGATCTCCCTCTCCAGAGCCAACAGTGCCAACTACAGTGGCATATCCGAGAGCTGCTCTTTTGAGTCCTCTCTAAGTTCCCACTGTACGAATGCAGGAGTTTCTGTACTGGAGGTGCCTCGAGAAAGCCAGCCAATCCACAGGGAGAAGGTCAAACGCTACATCATTGAGCACATTGATCTTGGAGCGTACTACTACCACAAGTACTTCTATGGAAAAGGTAAGTGCTAGAGATTAATGTTTTTACTGTGTGGTTGAGAAGATGACAAACTACAAACTAGCATGCAAAAATGTAGAAGTTACAGTAAATATTAGCTGATGGAGCATTCTTTATACCAAAATGTTGGTTTTTGAGAAAAATGGTTTTATGAGCCTGGAAAAAAAAAGAACTGTGTTTGGTTAATCATTAGCTTACCATTTTCTTCAAACCCGTTCTACTGCTACTGTACTAACTGTTACATTGGGTCAAAAACGATTAGCCCATCCCTTTTAGCATGACTCCACACAGTTGACTGTTTTCAGTAATTTTCCAAATGGAACAGCATCAAATTAATTTGCTGGTCTAATTAATTTGACACGGCCAGATTACTTAAATGTTCAGAACAATCGCAGGTTTGTGTTGGTTGAAAAAGCATTGGACGTCCAGGATTCATGAGCAGCTATGTCCTCTGAGATCTTTATCTTTGCCCCAACCTACCCCGCAAAGAAACTATGATCGGCCATGTAAGAAGAGAGAGGTGAATGAGGGTGTGTTGCAGCTGTTCCCCACGGGGATCACTGGGGTGCGAGGACTCCTCGTATGAAGCTTTAAGGTCAGCAGAGCTACGCCAGGGTCCCTGCTCTCCTCATTAAAACACCTCTGTGGCTGACTCTGGGAACACCATGGTGACCCGGACCCATCAGCACAATATGCATATGTGTTGTCCTCGCCGTCTGTGCGTGCTGCTCTCAGCAGATTGAATTACTCATTCTGAAACCCAGAAGAAAACAGCTGCTTCACCTTTCACACTCGTATATCTGATGCTGTGTACGATGTGACCAAATGTACTTTGCATTTGGATCTGTTAAGCGTTCACAGGAACGGGTTGCTTTATTCATTGCTTATCGGAGAACTTGTGTAGCTGTCTAAGCTCTTTGTTTGGGAGAACGTAGACCGTCATCCATTCATAATCCTCTCCTTTTGTGTCAGCTTTAAATATATGTAGGTTTTACTGAAAACGCCTTTTACAAATAATAACACGAGGTGTTTAATTGAATGAACAAGCTTGTCATTGTTGCACTGACACAGTGAGTTTCGTCTTTTATTGTCAGTTTTTATCAACCTAAAATGAACTTTGATCCTATTGACAGGCCGCTCCTTAGAAACTACAGCCATTCATCCTTGACGTTTCTTGTTTTTACCAAAGACCAAGCCTTGCTATAAAGCTGGTTAGAGTCACATAAAGTTTATATATATACACAAGTATATAAATGCGGGTTGGTGAAACAAAGAGATGCGCAACAATCTTCAGCTGAAATGAAAATCATCAAGTTCAAGAATCTTTATTATCCCCAAGGGGCAAATTGTTTCACAGTCAGTAGGCACACCAAACGCCCATAGACAAGACATTAAGACATTACTAGGGGTGTAACGGTTACGCTAAAATCACACTTTGGCTCGGTTCAGTTTCAAGGAGGGCTCGGTTCGGTTAATTTTCTGTACAAAAAAGGCCAAAATAAAGACTTACAAAACGTTTTTGAAAATGTGCCAAGTAAACAATATGTTTGTATAAAAATAAATAAAAGCGACCCATTTGGATGATATTTTAAATAAACGGCACTCTTTACAATAAATAAACTATACTATCAATAATAAAGATCTTAATAAATACAATAACAGTCAGAACCAGAACAACGAGCAGACTTCACAGATTCTTAGCTGGAGGTGATCTCTGGTGGATTTCCCTGAAGAGGAAGAAGACTCAGCTGCTATCTTTGTCCCAGACTGGAAATAAAATACGAAGAGGTAAAAAAAATAATCAAACAATGAGTTAATAAGATTATAATTTTAAATTAAAAAAGTTAATTAGATAATAATAATAATGAAATAACAAAACCTCTTCTTGAACGGTCATCATTTGTTATGAGGTAGGGCTTTAATCTGGAGTCCAGGGCTTGTTGACGATCAGTTTTAGCTTTTTCGTAAAGTGCTGCTACAACTTTTTGGCTGAAGTGTTGACGTGATGGGATGTGGGCTCAAGAACTTTATGCTTAAAGCCGACGCATCAACAGCATTTGGACGTAGATCCAGAGCTTTAACAACTCCTACAGCTTGTGTTGTTGCTTTGGACCTATCTGAATTACCTGATAAAGGTTGTTTAAATGCTGCTGTTATCGGTCTTTGCACCAACCAAGCTGCTATCTGTAGAAGAGACGTTCACGTTCAGATTATGTCGTTTCAAGAGCGTTAACAAGTTAGACGTGTTGCTGCTGCAGATCCAATCTCCGTGAAACCACGTTGACACACAGCTTTGGATTTACACTTGTCTTTTAACAAGAAAGCCACAACGTTCCCCAACAGGAGACCGCAATGAGAAGCTAATGCTAATGCTACGCGTGCTGCAAGATAATCTTAGGAACTTTATTTCCGCAGCGCATAATCTATAATCTAAT